AATTTTTTAAAACCTTGGTTTTTTACCTACTTTAAGACAGCGTAATGCTTCTAAATTGTGTCCAAATGATGTATACGGGGTTTAAAAATAAAGTGTGACAATTTTCAAGTCCCTATAGCCCCCGAGGATCAAGACAAAACCACATTTACATGCCCCTTTGGTACCTTCACTTATCATAGGATGCCATTTAGATTGCGTAACGCTTCAGGCACCTTTCAAAGTGCATGATGGCAATTTTTAGTGATCTTCTTGAGGAAAACATGGAAGTCTTCATGGATGACTTCACAGCTTATGGGGGGAGTTTTGATCAGTATTTGAATAGCCTAAAACAGGCTCTAGAGAGATGCATAGATAAGATGTTGGTCTTAAATTTTGAAAAATGTCATTTTACGGTGGATAGTGCGATAGTTTTGGGCCACCTTATCTCCCAAAAGGGGATTAAGGTTGATAGGGCTAAGATTGAAGTCATTTCCTTACTTCCTTATCCCACTCGCTTAAAGATTTGAGATCCTTCTTAGGGTATGCTAGGTTTTACCGATGATTTATTAAAGATTTTAGTAAAGTTGCCCTACCCCTTTCTACTTTATTGAAAAAAGATGTGGAATTTAACTTTGATGACAACTGTAGGCATGCCTTTGATGCTCTTAAATCTATGCTTGTTTCACCTCCCATTCTAATTGCACCTAACAGGGATTTACACTTTGAACTATCATGTGATGCTTCTAATTTTACAGTAGGTGCCATGCTTGGTTAAAAGGAGAAGAAGCAATCCAGAGTCATAGCTTATGCTTCTAAAACACTTGACCCAGCTCAAGTCAACTATACCACCATCAAGAAGGAGATGTTTGCTATTATTTTTGCCTCAGATAAATTTAGGCAATATCTAATCAATTCTCAAGTGGTTGTGTTTACAGATCATACAGTTATCCTTTATCTACTCGAAAACCCACAATCCAAGCCAAGATTGATAAGATGGGCTTTGCTACCATAAGAGTTTGACATTGAGATAAAGGATTGAGCTGGGACAGTGAATCAAGTAGCTGATCACTTAAGTAGGCTACCAGAGGACACAAGAAGAGTAGACTCTTCTGAACTCACTTGTGATTCTTTCCCTAATTCTGCTTTATGTGCTGTGGTTGTTAAAGAGCCTTGGTATGCTGATATTGTCAATTATCTCATGACTAGACTCACCCCTCCTTTTATGTCTAAATTTCAGGCATAGAAGCTTTAGAGCGAGTCCCAACACTACATATGGGATACGCCTTATTTGTGGAGAATGTTTAGTGATCAAGTTATTAGAAAGTACGTGCCGAGTGAAGTCTTCGAGCCCATCATTTCAGCTTGCCATTCTATGGTTTGTGGGGGTTATTTTAGTGCAAGGAGAACATCTAGGAAAATTGTAGATTCTAGATTTTATTGGCCAACCCTTTTTAAAGACTCTTTTGGATTTTGTCAGTCTTGTGACAAATGTCAACGTTTTGGAGGGTTAGGAAAAAGGCATGAGATGCCTCAATAGCCTTTATTGTTTTGCGAAATCTTTGATGTTTGAGGCATTGATTTCATGGGACCCTTTCCTTTATCCTTTGGTTTTGTATATATTTTATTAGCTGTAGATTATATGTCCAAGTAGATAGAAGTGATACCTTATAGAAAAGATGATGCCCAAGCGGTTTCAAAATTTCTTAAATCAAATATTTTCTGTAGGAATGGGATTCCTAATGATGTAGTGAGTGATAGGGTACACATTTTGTAATAGGATTATTGATAATTTATTTTCAAAATTTGGTGTCACTCATAAAATCTCCACTGCCTATCACCCCCAAACCAGTGGTCAAGCTGAAGTTTCAAATAAAGAGGTGAAGGATATATTGGAAAAGATAGTAAAGCCTGCTAAGAAAGACTGGAGTCTATATTTGGAAGAAGCACTGTGGGCTTATAGGACTGCATACAAATCACCGATTGACATGTCACTTTACCACTTGGTCTTCGGTAAAGCTTGCCATCTGCCAGTAGAGTTGGAACACAAGGTATATTGGGCAGTCAAGCAGTGCAACATAAACATAGAGTCTTCTGAAATGGAGAGGAAGTTACAACTGCAAGAGCTGGAGGAGCTTAGACTTGAAGCTTATGAGAACTCCAAACTCTATAAGGAGAAAACAAAGTTCATGCATGACCGGGGAATCCTATGGAAGAACTTCAAAGAGGGCAACCGAGTACTATTGTATAAGGCCTAGTTCAATTTTAAGCAAGGGAAGTTCAACACCTGATGGGACAGGCCCTACACAGTCACAAGGGTGCACAACTTTGGCATGGTTGAGCTTTTACATGAGGAGACTGGAGCCAGATTCAAAGTAAATGGCCATTTATTGAAGCTCTACCATGAGAATCAAAAGCCTCCTTAACTCCCAGGTTGTTTCTTTCCTTCACTCATTTACTTACTTTTGCCCTATTATTGCTCTTGATATGTTTTGTGCATTGGTATGCTGAATAAGTGTGGAAAAGAAACCACTTCAGTAGTTTAGTTTTGATGTAGTTAGTAATTTTTCTATGCAATAAGATTCCTTTTTTGATTCTTATCTCTGCGTTTTCTCCTTATGTGCTTAACTGTTAGAGTGCTACAAATTCATAAATTATCTGCTTTTAATTGTTGGAGAAAGTTTGCTACTCTAATTTGTGTTGTGCTGCCTTATCTTGAGCTTATTGGGCACCTTTTGATCTCATATTGTGCACTTGAAAGTTTTGAAGTATCTAGCTGCCTCCTTTGTTTATATACCTTTGTTCTGTTTCTGCTTAATTTTGGTGTCTCTGGCTACTTTCGCCATGGCAAAGATGCCCTACTTGTGTGTGTTTGCTCTCAGGATACTTTTGCCATAGCTAACTTCTAGTTTCACTGTGGTAACGTCCCTCTGCGTTAGTCGTCTTCCTCTCAGGCAGCATTTGCCGCTGCGTGACCCTCACTTCACCACGATGAAGCCCTTTTCTTTCTTCTCTTTGCCATTTAAAGAATTTATCTTGTGCACATCTGAGTTATCCTTTTGTATCCCTTGCAAGATGGTAGTTATAGAGACGAACTTATCATCACTCTCCTTCATTCACCCCTCTGTGTTTGTCATCTGTGTAGTCATGCTCTTCAAGAGTTGAGAAGTGGTATCCCCTTTTGGCGGTGGTTGAAATACTATGGCATTTTGTGGGGTTGTCACTACTGCTCTTGAAGGATCTTGAAAATTGCTTGATGAATGATTCACAACCTTTTCTTGACCATGGCATACTTCTTCTCTTTGCCATTTAACCTCCACCAAGAGGGGATAACACTTCTCAACTCTTGAAGGGCATGGCTGCATAGATGACAAACATAGAGGGGCGAATGAAGGAGAGTAATGATAAATTCATCTCTATAACTACCATTCTTGCAAGGGATACAAAAGGATAACTCAGATGTACACAAGAAGTTGGAGGAGCTTACCTTAAAGAACACCGACATCACTAGCCATTTGACCCAACTGTCTAATGCAGTCAATGACATACAAGCTAAAAAGGGGGCAGCATTCCTCCCAACATGGTGATTAACCCTACAGCCCTAAATGCTATAACCCTAAGAAGTGGTAAAAGGGTTCATTTTAAGGGTGAAAGGATAGATAAACACTACTACACAAAAGCAGAATTGTAGCGCTTCATTTTTAGTAATTATAGCATTTCCCAAGTGCTACAGATAAAAGTGCTATGTTTTGTATAAAAGCCAAGCTGTAGCCCTTTTCAAAGCACTATAAAAGGATTTTTTCCCCAAAAAAAAAATTAACATCAGCTATAGCGCTTCATGAGGGAAGTGGTATAGCTGACCTTTCTTTAACAAAAAAATAATAGAGCCTGTAGCACTTCTAATTCTTTAAGGACTAGCTACAGGTATTTTTTTTTTTTAATTACATTCATGCTTGAAGCCATCTCACTAGACTTGAAGCTTAAAGAAAACATGCACTGATGACCAAAGTTAAAAATTAAGGCAATAACATTTAAAAATTATGGCTATGACCATATAAGCAAAAACTCTATCTAAATACTACAAAGAGGCATCACGCTACTTCTAGCCAATTTTGATACAAACAAGCTCTATTTTAATTTTTGTCCTATCCAGTGAGTTCTTTGACAGCTTTCTTCTTTCAACTTCACCATACGGCATGCAAAATAATGTTAATTTGATCATAAGTCAGGTCTTAAGCAAATGTAACAAGCCAAATCAATGGTAAAAATAGTGAATAAATAAAAATTGAACCAAAATAAGTAAATTGATATCCCATGCCACTCCTTTTTTTTTTAGTTGCCTCATATCAATCGTATTCTTTCACTATGGTATGACCATACGCCAAAACATAGCCTGTTTAAATAGATATAGAAAGCTTAGTCAATACAAATCACAAAGATGTCAAGGGTACTCAGAAAAAGAAGTCATTATTCATAAAACAAATACAAGCTCAACTTTGTAGTCTATCAAATTTTCAAAAAACTAATACCCTATCATTTAAAAAAAATTAAAAGTGGGAAAGAAAAGGAAAAATGTGTTGTATCTTCAACCAATTGTGATTACTCAAAAATTCTAGTTGACACATTCTTCAACTATTATCTAAATAATATACCTTCAACCAATTGTGAGCACTCAGACATTATACTCAACACATTCTTCAACCATCACCTCAACAATATAAACATAACTGCAAAAGACAGCAAACAACAAAATCCCCATGAAAAATAATTTAAAGAGTACATAGACAATAAGGATCAGTAGAATAGAAATAGGATATGCTAGCATCTTAACATTGATTTTTCCTTCAAAAAATTTTCTAGCAAAGATACTTATAAAATACCATGACCACTTGTAACATTGGTTATTGTTTCCAGTTAATTTAGTATGTTAATGTTTCCATTTAATTAAGCATCATACTGTACCTTTTCCAAAGTTAGAGAAGCCTATTGTGTTCTCTAGTTAATGGATTTAAAAGCATTAGAAAGACTATTTACTTTCTGTATCGCCAACGAGAAAGAAATTTGTCCTTTTCTATGATCAGTATAATTGCAACTTTTAAGCCACTAATTCAAACTAATTTGGTAGTACCACGGACCAATTTATCAATGATCTAAAAAACTAATTATCAAAGAACCTTTAAGGTATAAGAAAGAAGTGGAAAAAGGCGAATATACTTGGCATTCAAATTCTACATTTGCAAGCAATCACGCATTGATGGTTAACCCCCAAAGTAAGAAAATTTTTGAAAATAAATAGAGCCTAACCAAAGAAGTAGAGCTACATAGAAGGAACCCCCCAACATAGCTGTGATCTCCGCTAGTACTACTACCACCCAAACATAATCTGTGACAACAAAGAAAATGACCTACAAGATCCATGGTGTGAACAAGAAAATGACAAAATCACTAGCAAAATCTATATACAAAAAACCACACAAAAGAAAGCATGTGCAATCCTTATCAAAAAATTGATGGACAGTAAGAAAATTATTAGGGTTTTGGGTTTGAGAAACTGAGCTAACCTTAAAAACCCTAAGATTTGATCTTCTTCAAGTACAAGGCTCTGGTATGAAGACCTCAAAATCATTGCTGATAGTAAGTCGAGACTGTAAAATCTCCCTTGTCAGTAGGAAGACGATGGGGAAGAGTGGGGAGCTTGAGAGCAGTTAGGGATAAAGGAAGGGGTAGGGAGAGAGGGAGGGATAGAGAGAAAAGGAGGAATGGGGATGGTGGTTGGTGATAGGATCTGCAATGTGGGTGGAAAGAAGAGAATAGAGAAGAGAGGGTAGAAGGGAAATGGGTCGCATTGTGGTGTGGTGACGTCAAGGGAGCCAGAAAATGGAGAATAGAGAAAAGAGAAGGAAGTAAGAAAGTAAGGGAAAAGGGGTGGGGTTTTGGCATATAAAAAAATTAATTAAAAAGAAAATCATTATGCAGCACTTTGCCTAAAAAGGGCTACAAATTAACATCTTTTTTGGAAAACAAAAAAAATCAAAAGACTTCCTACTGTAGCATTTTGTTAAAAAAATGTTACAAAATATGTGCTACTAATGCAATATTTTGTAGTGATGATTTTTTTTCTAAAAATAATTCACTTTTCTAAGAATGTGACATAAAAAATTATTTTTTAAAAACTATTTTTTGTAGTGCTTTTAAAAAATAAAAATATACATGGGAGTTGTAGTGCTTTTTTGGGAAAGCACTACAGCAGACTTATATTCTTCTGTAGCACTTTTCCAAAGAAAAAACACTACAAATATTTAATATTTTAAAAAAATAAAAATTATATAAGAGTTGTAGCACCTTTTTAAAAAAATGCTACAAAATGTGTGCTATTTATTTAAGTTTTTGTAGTAGTGAAAGCTAAAGCGAAGCAAGATGTAGAAAGCCCTCCACTTTTCCCCATAAGGCTTGGTAAATTTGAGAGCTCAAATGAAGAAGAGCTCATAATAAGGACAAGAGCACAAGCTGATCTAGAAGAGAAGTCAACTCAAGCATAAGACCAAGTACCTTATCAAGCTGCGCTAGAAGATGAAAGCATTATGGAGAGCTCAACCTACAAAGGCAAGCAAAAAGAGGACAAAGCAGAGACTAGCATACAAGGAGCCTCTAAACCTTCAGGTAAGGAGGTATGTGCTAAAGATCTCCCTTTTTCTAAAGCTTATTTCTCTATCAAGAAGAAGTTTGATGCTGAGTTTGCCATTGATGTTTACTTTTTATTTAACAAACTGGAAATCAATATGCCCATAATTCAATTCTTGAGAGGGAATCCTAAATACTTTAAATTATTAAAGGAACAGTGTAATGATAAGCAAAGGTTTAGGTCCCTTGAGAGAATTTAGATGAGTGCTAATGTGTCATCCTTATTCAAAGCTAAACTACCAGTTAAGTGCCAAGATCCTGGATCTTACACCATTCCCTGTACCATAAGAAAGGTTCACATTAAGGGAGCGTTGTTAGATGTAGGAGCTGCTATAAATATCACGCCTTGGTCGGTTTATTTGGCCTTAGGGATAAATGGGATCAAAGACACAAGTGTAATGCTCCAACTACCAAATCAGTCTCTTAGGTATCCTAAGGGCATAATAGAGGACATTCTAGTTCAAGTCAAGGACCTAGTATTTCATGCTGATTTCTATATTTTAAACATGTCAAATGAACTTGCAAATGAAATTACTTTAATTCTAGGGAGACCTTTCCTCCCGACTTCTAAAACTAT